AGTGAAGAGGACGTGAAACTTTGATGAATTTATCTCAGAGTCGCGTGTTAATGCGTGCGCATATTTTTAACGGGAATTAAAAATGGCGTCCATCCCGCAGCGAATGCGTCGCTACCCGTTGCCAGGGGCAACCGCCGTGGAAAACCAAACGGACCAATCGTGTCTCGCAAATCCCTCACATTTCGTCCAATGAAACTGCGTATGGTCCGGCGACACACAGACAGACAGACACACACAGACAGACAGACAGATTTGCGATTTTTTATATATAGATAAATATAGACAACACGTTCTACTTAATTAAATAGACTTTTTAATGAATGTTTTCTCCTACAACATCAGAGTGCAGCGCCACATTAAATACGCACTACAATGACAATAGTTTAAAGCGATTTGAAGCATGTTTTATTTTTGGGGGGGGGGCAGAGCTTTGTGTCGTCATATTTGAGGGGGGGTCTGACTCTTTGTGACGTCGTGTGACGAAGGGGGGGAGAGGTCAAAAATCGTCCACAATAGCGTGACGTCATTTATGGACGGCCCCAAAGCTCGCACGCTCTCCCCTGCCAACTCTCCCAAAGGGGCTGTTCCCTTGCCCTGCTGGGCCCCTTATCAGTGCCCTACCTCATTACAGACCAATTCACCCCTTAGTGGTCACCCCGTTGCTCCTTATAAGTCTCAACGTGCACCCTACAATGTCCCATCACAAGGGACAAACACAAGCACACAGACACACTGTGTTTGTCCGTATTGAAACGGCTGTACGTCGTATGGACCTGGACAAGAATCCGGGGTAAATCGCTTTGGTTTTGCGGCTTTTCATCAAGGATCTCAAAGCGCTGTACAGGACACAGCAGCAGCAGACACTACGCAACAACAATAATATTATTCATACATTTTAAGAATAATTTACTAAATGAACGAATAGTTGAATAAGTTGAATAAGGCCAACCTCCCAGACCTTTCCGACAGTGTGTCTCATTATCACACACGCGCGTGTGTGTGCCTGTGTCTGCGTGTGTGTGTGTGTGCCTGTGTCTGCGTGTGTGTGTGTGTGCCTGTGTCTGCGTGTGTGTGCGTGTGCGTGTGTGTCTGCGTGTGTGCGCGTGTGTGTCTGCGTGTGTATGCGTGTGTGTGCGTGTGTGTGTCTGCGTGTGTGTGCGTGTGTGTCTGCGTGTGCGTGTCTGCATGTGTGTGTGTTTGTGTGTTTGTGCATGGGGAGCGGTGGTGTAGCGATTAGCGCGCTGAGCTACGAACCTGGCGACCCGGGTTCCATTCCCGTTCACGGCCAACACCACCAGTGACGATTTTCTGAACCGGTCCTGGGCCTCTCCCTAGGTCGACTCAGCCTCAAATGAGTACCTGGTGCGGTCTGTAAACATTGCCACTAGGGAGACAAAGGCGGTCGGGCGTGGTGCTGGCCACCCACCCCCTCGTGTACCGTGCTGGCCTTCATAGGTGCTCGCTAACAGCACTTGCCCCAACAGTCTGCTAAGGCTACACGGGGGATCTTTGTCTTTGTGTTGAACTGCTTTCTCACCCTACGTAGCCATCCGTGCTAATCGGAGGTGCCGGCGATGGGCGCATGGGGAGGCTGCTGCCCCCACAAAGCTCTCGACTCAGACTCCCGCGTGCTGCCAAGTTCCATGAACAAGAGGACATACAGTCTATACATACAGTCTATACAGTATATACATATACTGTAGTCAACAACCATGAACTCATCAATTGTTGTTTTACCATTATCATTGTGGTTGGTATTGAAAACACATTATATGATCGAGACAATGAGCATTTAGTAATATTTAACACAATAAGTGTTTGTATATATAGGGGCGATGTCTATAATCCACGACACCGTTACCGAATTCTGCTCTGGCCCATGGAATCCCCCTATCCCATAAGCCCCCCCCACCCCGCCTTTTGCCGGGGGGGGGGGGGTTAGATAACTCCCTTGCCCATGAAGTCAGTCTCTCTCTCTGTCTCTCTCTTGTCTGGCGGCTGCACTGCACGTGCCTGTCTGCCTGCCCGTGACCCCACACTGTGGTGGCGGCCAGGGGTGGGTGGATCACCGCGCAGATGTCGCGAAACTCCATTCCTGTGGCCATCGCAGGCGCCCTCGATAACTCTGGCTCGCCAGTAGAAGGGGGGCGAGCCACGGTGGCCAGGAGATGTTAACTCCCTCGCCTGGTGTACAGGAGGTCGTGGGTTCGTTCTCGACCCTGACGCCTGCTGCTGTATATTTGGAGTTTGCGTGTCTCTCTCTGTAATCATCACGGTGGCTAGGAGATGTTAATTACCTCGCCTGGTACACAGGAGGCCGTGGGTTCAATCTCGACCCTGACGCCTGCTGCTGTGTGATTGGAGTCTGTGTCTCTCTCTCTCTCATCATCATCACGGTGGCTAGGAGATGTTAACTCCCTCGCCTGGTATACAGGAGGTCGTAGGTTCGATCCCGACCCTGACGCCTGCTGTTGTATATTTGGAGTTCGCGGTTTCTCTCTCTCATCACCATCACGGTGATTTTCCCCCGGGTCCTCCGGGGTTTCCCCTCCGCATTTAGAATCAACAGCATCACGCGTTTAGAGTGTTTGGCTGCTGTAATTTTCCACGTGACGATAAGCCACCTCGTTGAGCTATCGTTTGTGATCGCCAGGTCGCTTCTGAAGATGGGCTGTACATGCTCGGTGGGCCTTATCTGGTAAGATGACATTGAATATGTGAACCCTACCCGTTCAATCTGCGTGTGACAGTGTTACACCTTGCAGGCGCGTGGCATTGCTCCACATGCTCGGATACCTCCCGCATGTACGAACTCGCCTGCTCTTTCTCGCTTCTCGCTCTCGACGAGTCTCAATCTTGGCTGTCTCTCTCTCTGTGTTCCTCCTCATCCTGATGCTCAATCCACGCTTCCGCTGTCTCTCTCTCTCTCTCTTCTCGCCCTCCCCCTTCACTGGAACAAACTTCCCCCTCCACATTGAGCGGTCACCTTCGGCTCACAGAGTTTCCGTTCCTCACTGACAACTCACCTATTGTTTTATTGTTACCCCGAGTTCACCCCACGACCCCTCCTCCTTAATCTCCCCCTTCACATTCTTTTGACACGGCTATCACTCATCAATCCCATTCACTCAATCCATTCATCATCATCATCATTTCGCTTCCACCTCAGTCACGCATCATTATCATCATCGTCGCAGACTCGCCCCCATTGCTTCCTCTCGTCTAATGTATTCCCCGCGTCTCTCCTCCATTGCATCCACACACTGACGTCGCTGTGCCCTTCTCCATTCTCTGTGAAGCGTCTTGGTTGAGGCGCTATATCTAAGACGTTAAGATAAGATATATAGAGGACCGCAGAGCTTGGAGAGGGAAGGTGGTGGCTGCTGCCGTTCCCTGCTCGTTTGTGGTTCCTCCTCACACCTCCGAGTGGTCCTCTCTCCCTCTCAGAGTCGTCCCCTCTCTGAGTCGTCCTCTCTCTCTCTGAGTTGTTCTTTCCTTCTCTGAGTCGTCCTCTCTCTCTGAGTCGTCCTCTCCCTCTCTGAGTCGTCCTCTCTCTCTCTGAGTCGTCCTCTCTCTCTGAGTCGTCCTCTCCCTCTCTGAGTCGTCCTCTTTCTCTGAGTTGTCCTTTCCTTCTCTGAGTCGTCCTCACCATCTATCTCTGAGTCGTCCTCTCTCGCTCTCTCTGAGTCGTCCTCCACGAGGCGTCCTCTCCCTCTCCCTACGAGAGTGAGGAGTGGAGGCTGCGGACAGGCGACGCCATGTTGCAACTCGACGTTCTTGCCACACGAGTCGCGTCGTCAGTGACACTCCCTTGACAGTCACAAACCTCTGTGTGTGTACTACCAGTACCCTGTGTTGAATTGATTTCGCAACCGTACGTATCCATCCGCGCCAATCGGAGGTGTCCATCACCACGCTTCTCCTGCGAAGCCACGTGTCCCGCTATTTCGCGCGGCGTTTGGAGATGCAGCTGAAATTCAGATTCTATTGCCATCACAATGGTGATACTCGGACGAGATGGGCGCGGGCGTTGTTATTTCGCGACGTCGGAAGGTTGAGACGAGCGAGTTAGGGGATGAGATTCGCACGACATAAGACGGGCGAATGAGGTGGGATGATGAGAAGGCATGAGATGACATGCAATGCGATCAGGCTAGATGGGGTGGCACGAGATAAGGGATGAGATAAGGGTTGAGATGCGAATGGATAGGATGGCGTGTACGATATGACCATGCTCTTTGGTTTTTTCGGTAAAGTCACGTAGGTAAAAAATAAAATAAAAATAAATAAAATCACGACGTTTCGGAGGCAACACAAGCTTCCGTCTTCAGGTGGCACCGTCACAGCAAAATTACTATATTAAGGACCCTTGCAGTCACGAAAACTTCAGATATGACGATGGCTGAATGAGAGGGGATGGGATGAGATCCCGTGATTATGAGACGACATCGCAGGAGGCCGGGGAGACGGGGAGGGGGGTAGTTCCACAGAGGATCGGGATGAGCGAGATCGCTCCTCCCGTGCGCGGCCGACCTAATGCAGAGGGCGGCCGCGCTGAGAACATCCGAGACTCCGACGGCGTTCCAGGGGAGCTGAACGAGCCGCGAAGGAACGGGATGGAATGCCCGGGGTGGGATGAGCAGGAGGGCGGTGGAGACACAGCGGGGGGGGGGGGGGGGTGAGATGACGTGACGGCCGGGGGAATGATGAGATTAGGCCGAATGGGTAAATCGTAAATCGTGTGGAGGGGAGGGGAGGGGCGGGGGGGGGGGGGCAGTTGGGGAGAAGCGGAGTTGGAGCTGAATGGGTCCGGGGTGGGGGGCCTTGGAGTTTTTGTCTCGGTTTGGGGGCAGGGTGGGTGGGGGGCGAGGCCGTGGCTGAATGGCTTGAGATGAGTTGTGTGGGTGGAGGGGGCGAGGGGAGCTCTCCTCCACTGGTGGGGGAGGGGGGGAGACGGGGGTCGGGGTGGAGGTTTGGAATCTCTCACGGCCACTCGAGGGCAGCGCGAACGGCGACTGACGATTTCGTCCGCGGTGATAGACCCACGGCCGCTCCACCATCAGCACCACCACCAGAGCCATCAGCACCACCACCAGAGCCATTAGCACCACGACCACCATCATCCCTCACGTCACTAACACGACTATCGCCACCGCGGACATCACCACCACCACCAGAACTATCATCATTATCACCACGACCATCACCACCACCACCACCACCACCACGGACATCACCACAACCATCATCAGTCAACCGCGGCGAGTCAACCATCAGGGCCCCATCGCCAGCGTCCACACCGCGACTCGCCTCACTGCCCTCGCCGCGTCGCCCATCACCACAAACATCGCCCATCACCACAAACATCGCCCATCACCACAAACATCGCCCATCACCACAAACATCGCCCATCACCACAAACATCGCCCATCACCACAAACACCGCCCACGCCGTCGCTGTGATCGGCGCGCTGCGATCGTCGCCAGCGTCACGACCACGCAGCCTCCTCGTCCACCACCATCAGAGTCTCCACCAGCACCACCAGCACCACCATCATCATCACCGGTGTCTCCACCAGCACCACAAACACGACCAGTTGCCATAAACTAGTCTACATTCACATTACCAGCTTCCGAAGCACCACCACCATGGCCACTATTGCCAGGGGTTAACACGAGACCCTCCATCTACACCACCACCATCATCATCAGTGTCTTCATCATCACACCGCTAGTATCAACAGTTCCATCAACACCACCATCACCACATCGGTGTTATTACTACCATCAGTGTCGCATCACCATCACAGCCTCCACCACCTCCCATCACCATCACCACCTCCCATCACCACCTCCCATCATCACCATCACCACCTCCCATCACCACCACCACTTCCCATCACCACCTCCCATCACCATCACCACCTCCCATCACCACCACCGCCTCCCATCACCACCTCCCATCACCATCACCACCTCCCTACACCACCTCCCATCACCACCACCACCCCTTCGCATCACCATCACCACCTCCCATCACTACCTCCCATCATCACCATCACCACCTCCCTGGTCACGGAGCGAGTGAGTGGAGGGCGCCACGATGGACACGCGGAGTCTCGCGCTGCTGCTGATGATGATGATGACGACTAAGACGGGACTGCTGCTGATGATGATGATAGCCCCTGGGCGGGCCATTGACAGCGGTAAGGGCAACCTCGTCCACCTCATCGCGTCGCCCACCCGAGTTCACCCACACCTCGTCTGTTTACATTGTTTACACATCACCCGCTAATGTTTCTGTTACAGTCAAAATGATGGGTTTAGAGCAGTTGTTCTTAACTTTTAGAATGTTAATACACACATAGGGTTTGACGAAACAAAGTGATTGTTACTTACGTGCCCTTGCTTAATTTGTGTTTTCGATTATTTACCGTCTAAAAACTAAATCTGCCCACGCACCCCCACGGAGTGCGTGATGGACTCCAGGTCCTACTTGGGCTGCAGGGACTTTAATCTTTTGCCATTATTTTCCTCCCGATTTCATTTCCATGTATTTTGTTGTTGTACTGCACTTGTATAGCTGTCAACCTACCTTATTACAGAACCAATTCAGAACATTAGTGGTCACCCCGTGCCCCCTTATACATATCAACGTTCATCCTACAAAGTTCCATCACAAGGAGAAACACAAACAGATATATCTGTGTTTTTACTCAATTCCCCTGTACAAGACTGCGGGTAAACCAGATGGGTTGACGGCTTTCCACTTGGCTCGTTCTGCCTGTGGCCGTGTCTGTGACCCCACGCCGTCTCTTGCCAGTGTGAGGACTCCGTGAACCCTGGCGCCGTGAGTTTGTTCACCTGGCGAGACAAATCCATGTACCCCGACACTCGCTTGGACATTAAAGGGACCCTGTGCAGGGAGTGTGACGTGGTGGGTTGATATCGCTGAGTATTTTTTATTTGCGTACGATGGCCGAGTTGCTGAACACAGGAGTCCCAAAGTTCCCCCCCCAAAAAAAACGTCGAGCGGCCAGCAACGAACAGCACTATCACAGCTGCACTCGACAGAGAGTCTATGATGAACACGTTTATTGTGCTGAGCCCGTGGAGACAGAGGCGATGTTGCTCATTCACGACCTTGCTCCAGTGGCCAGGACGCATTCTATAAACTAAAACTAAACTATTGTTTTATTTGACCAGGGAAGGCCCACTGAGTTACGTAGCTCTTTTTCAGAAGCATCCTGCCCAAAAATGGTAGCTCAACGAAGTGGCTTATCATGCGGACATGGGTAGTGGTCAAACACTCTAAACGAGTGGATGTTGATTCTAAATGTGGAGAGAAAAATCGGCGTGATCACGGAGAAAGAGACACCGCAAACTCCAAATATACAGCAGCAGGCGTCAGGGTCACGATAACACCTACGACTTCCTGTATACCAGGCAAGGTAGTTAACATCTCATAGCCACCGCGACGAGATGTGAACTATTCATGTAGGCTGTTGCCACCACGGTATGGCCCTGTCTCAGTCAGCACGAGGTCTATCGACACTTCGGATGAGTGGGTGGGTGAGCGGGTGGGTGAGCGGGAGGGTGAGCGAGTGGGTGGGCGAGTGGGTGGGTGAGTGGGTGGGTGAGCGAGTGGGTGGGTGAGTGGGAGGGCGAGCGAGTGGTTGAGCGAGTGGGTGGGTGAGCGAGCGAGTGGGTGGGTGAGTGGGAGGGTGATCGAGTAGTTGAGCGAGTGGGTGGGTGAGTTGGAGGGTGAGCGAGTGGGTGAGCGAGTGGATGGGTGAGTGCGAGAGTGAGCGAGTGGGTTGGTGAGTGGTTGAGCGAGTGGGTGGATGAGCGAGTGGGTGGGTGAGTGAGTGGGTGGGTGAGCGAGTGGGTGAGCGAGTGGAAGGGTGAGTGAGTGGGTGGGTGAGTGAGTGGGTGGGTGAGTGGAAGGGTGAGCGAGTGGGTGGGTGAGTGGGAGGGTGAGCGAGTGGGTGAGCGAGTGGGTGGGTGAGCGAGTGGGTGAGCGAGTGGATGGGTGAGTGGGAGGGTGAGCGAGTGGTTGAGCGAGTGGGTGGGTGAGCGAGTGGGTGGGTGAGCGAGTGGGTGGGTGAGCGAGTGGGTGGGCGAGCGAGTGGGTGGGTGAGCGGGTGGATGGGTGAGTGGTTGAGTGGGTGAGTGGGTGGGTGGGTGGGTGAGTGAGTGGGTGGGTGAGTGGCTGAGTGAGTGAGTGGGTGGGTGGGTGAGTGAGTGAGTGGGTGGGTGAGTGGTTGAGTGAGTGAGTGGGAGGGTGAGTGGGTGGGTGAGTGGTTGAGTGAGTGAGTGGGTGGGTGAGTGAGTGAGTGGGTGGGTCGGTGGGTGAATGGGTGAGTGAGTGGGTGGGTGAGTGAGTGAGTGGGTGGGTCGGTGGGTGAGTGGGTGAGTGAGTGGGTGGGTGAGTGAGTGAGTGGGTGGGTGAGTGGGTGGGTGAGTGGTTGAGTAAGTGAGTGGGTGGGTGAGTGGTTGAGTGAGTGAGTGGTGGGATCAGGGATGGATCAAGGCGTGGGGGCTTTAAGGGCTGCAGCCCAGGGGCCTCAGCCAGCCGGAGGGCCTCCAGAGATGAAGTGAAAAGTGATTTCACTTGTGAATGCTGCATTTTATTTGTTGTTTGCCTTCTAAAAAATACATTTTATTTTTCTTTAACTTTGTTTTCCTTTGGAAAATATTACTGGGGGCCTCACAGTAGCTGTAGCCCGGGGCCTACACAATCTTCTTCCTGCCCTGGGTAGGGATGCAACATTCTGCTGCTTTTTGTGTTTAGTTTGCTGTCAATTCGCCCGCACCTCCTATTAGCACGGTTTGTTGACGTACGGTGCGAAATAAGTGACACAAAGACGAAGATACCCCATATAGCCTGAACTGACCGTTGGGGCAAGTGCTGTTAGCGAGAACCTATGAAGGCCGGCATGGCACACGAGGGGGTGGTTGGCCAACACCACGCCCGGCCGCCTTTGTCTCCCTAGTGGCGATGTTTACACACCGCACCAGGTACTCATTTGAGGCCGAGTCGACCTAGGGAAGGCTCAGAACCAGTTGAGATAATCGTCAACGGTGTTGGCCGTGAGCGGGAATCGAACTCGGGTCGCTGGGTTCGTAGTGCAGCGTAGTGCTAACTGCTACATTGCTTACATATGTAGTGGTGGTATTGACGTGCGCCGGCAGTGATGGATCACGGGGCGCGGGGTTGGGCACGCGGTGTGGGCGTGGCATGGACGCGCGCGCCGGTGGTGAGGCGCGCTCACACAAGCTGGGAAAAGAGGATCGTAGCGAGTGCGCAGTGATTGGTCAGATAAGTGAGTACTCTCAGCGACGTCCGCAGGAGGGGTATAAAGGGGGACGCGCGAGAGCACTCGTGGTCAGTGTTAACCAGTTGAAGACCGAAGACGGGGTGGAGGAGGTAGGGGCCCTGTGTGGCTCGGAGCCGAGACTGGGGGGACCGGAGTCCGACGCCCGTGTGGGTCGGGACGGTGGTACCCAGAGCCGAGACGGGCACCCCGGCTGGGTGTGTCCCGGAAGGCTACAGGGCGTAAGAGCCCGTGTCAGTACAGCTGAGTGGGTGTTGGTCACCCGTGTAGCTGAGTGGGTGTTAGTCACCCGTGTAGCTGAGTGGGTGTTGGTCACCCGTGTAGCTGAGTGGGTGTTAGTCACCCGTGTAGCTGAGTGGGTGTTGGTCACCCGTGTAGCTGAGTGGGTGTTGGTCACCCGTGTAGCTAAGTGGGTGTTGGTCACCCGTGTAACGAAGTTGTAGTTGAGTGGGTGTCCGTCACCCGTGTAGCTAAGTGGGTGTTGGTCACCCGTGTAACGAAGTAGGGTGTTAGTCATCCGTGTAACTACAAGTTGGTGAAAATAAAGAGTGTGCTACCCGTGAAGTCGTCTCCTGCCGAGTTACTACTTTACAACTGGCGTCAGAAGTAAACCTGTCTTCAAGGAGAATGGACACAAGGAAGACTTCTCGTTCCCACGTGCAAGACCGGGGAGACGACGACGTACCGGTGACACCACCCTCGGGAGGAGAGGACGAGGAGTTGCCGCCGATGCAGCACTTCGCGGAAATGGCCGATGCTCCGCCCGCCTCCGACACCAGCCTGCAGGACGCACACTCCCGCCTGGCGGAGTTGCTGCTCGCCGCCGCTGCGATCTTGGCGGAGATCTCCGTTCCAGCGGCCGGTGGAACGCCTGCGGGGTTGGAAGAGGCGGCGCGGCTGGAGGGTTCCCGCCATAAGGCGTTTCGCGCCAAAAGTTTGGGAGTTGGCGCCATTTTTGAGGGTCCGCCTCCGGTTGGCGGGAAACGCGGACACCACGTGGCCAGAGGTCTCCACACAGCGCAGCCCGCGTCATCGGCGAGCGCCGGAGCTCTCCATTTTGCGCCTGCAGAGGGAGCCGACATTTTCTACAACCACAGCGGCGCGCGGGAAAATCGTTCCAACGACGACGACGACGATCGAGTTCTCCAGCAACGATTGCCCGCGCTGTCGGTGTTCAAGGCGGACGGGGGCGACTGGGGAGCCTTCCAGCGACGGTTCATCGCGCATCAAGAAATGTCGGGGTGGTCCGACACCACTGCCCTGCGCGCGCTGCCAGCGATGCTCGACGACGACGCGCTTGCGGCCTTCACGTCTGCCCCGAGGTCGTCCCGCTCAACGCTCCAGGCCGCGCTGCACCTGTTGGCCAAGGTGTTCGGGCCGCCCTCGACCTGTCGCCACCAGTTCTACGATCGGCGGAAGGTGGTTGGAGAAACAACGCTCGCCTATCGCACGGCGCTGCTCGCCCTGGCGGATTCAGCTTTTCCCCGCATGGACAAGGAGGGGAAGGACGCCATGGTGACGGAGCAGCTGCTGGCGCTGGCTCACGGATTGGGAGTTCCCATTAATACGGCGGACGAGATGGACATCTGCTCCCTGGGGATTGCCACGAGTATCCACGCTTACGAGGTCCTACAGCGGAAGCCGACGGTCGTCTGCGCATCGGTGGAGAACGGGGCACCGGCCGCCACGATCATCGGACCTCAGCCTGCTGTGCCTCGGGAGGAGGCCTTCGCTGGTTCGAGGCCGGGGGAGTGGAGAACGGGAGGTCGTTCGCCCACACGCTCCTCCCGCAAGCTGGAGCAACCGAAACCTACGACGTCCCTCGTCGTCTGCTACAACTGCGGCCTTCGGGGCCACGTCGCGTCCGG